TTTTCCTTGCTAGTGTATTGAAAACAAACTCAGGGAAGCACTATATTAGTATTTACCAATATTTTACAATATTTGTAAAATATTTGTACAATATTTTACAATAGTAAAATAACATATTTAGATTTCATAAATACAATTACATTTTATTTTAAATTTATTTTACTTTTAAATCCTTATGTATAAAACTTACTGATACGGTTTCAAATACTTTATTTAAAATTTTTATTGAAAACATTATTCTTTTATTGCCCAAAATGTTCTACATGTTAAATGCAATTTTATTTTCCTTGGTGCTCTGTAGTTTTAAAAGTTCTTTATTTTTTTTAAAAAGCAACTTGAGTGTCTTTTTATTATTTGTATACTTTGGCAGCTCTTTTTTATCATGTTGATTTTAGAATAATATTGTCCATGAATTAAGGTATATATATTCCTACTTGCCTTTAAAATATAAAGAGGGAGAAAGTTATTCTATGTAGATTTTTTGTCAATAAACCCAACTCTTATCACCTACACCCACCTACCACACAAAAACCCCCCAAAACCTTTTTACTAACGTTTAAAAAAATTATTTTAAACAAAATTTGCTATTCCAAATAAAATAAATAAGCCAAGTAAAACTGTGCACCAATTGTAAACAACATTTTAAGAAAAACTGAAGAAAAAGATCACCAAACAAATTAGTATGTTTAGTATTCAATGTTCAGGTTAAATATCAAAGGAAATTAATATTCATTTTAACAGTTTTGGAGTACTTGTGACAACAATGTAGCAAGTCCAATTTGATTACTTCCTCAATTGTCACTCTTCAATTTTTCAAAAATCTGTACAACTAAAAACAAATTCCTTTTAATAGTTTCATTTCTCTGTATTCACATTTCACAACTTTTACCTATTTCACAATTTAAGCGCCTGAGGACAGTTTCATTCTCTAACTCTACCTAAATAAGTAGCATGCATTTACGATTAGTAATTACATATTATTTTCTACCCCTTTTTTTTTTTCCACAGAAATAAACCAATTACAGGTAAATAAAATTATCTTTCCCATCCCCACCCAGAGTGATTATGTATGTAACCAATCACACTTCTGGAAGAGGAGACAGAAAAAACATTTTCCCAAACATTACAAGAAGACTGACTAAGAAAAGTTACAGTAATTCCTTTTTTTTCTTTTTAAAATTCTTTTTAGCTGACAGCTGTCAGTTGAAGACAGTAATTCCTTATCACTGAGATTTCAAGGATTAAGAAAGAAAAATGGAGCCCTAAGGTTAAATATTCTGTAGGATTTTTGATTCTTGCTTCACATTTCTATTTCCTATGAAAGATTTATGATTGAGAAGAGAAACTACAAGGCTAATTATAATTACTCTGCAAAATACTAATCTTTGAATCTAATGTTGTAAACTTGAATTGAAATATGTGAAATCACATTTATCTTCAAATGTTAAACCTTTTCATTTTTACAGTAATCTTTTCATTTTCATGATGAGTGACCATATAAAAATATCTCTTTAAAAGCAAAAGAGGTGGGGCATGGTGACTCATGCCTGTAATCACAGCACTCTGGGAGGCTGAGGAGGGAGGACAGCTTGAGCCCAACAGTTCGAGACCAGCCCGAGCAAGAGTGAGGTGCCCGTCTCTACTAAAAATAGAAAAAATTAGCTGAGCAACTAAAAAACGGAAGAAAAAATTAGCCAGGCATGGTGCATGCCTGTAGTCCCAGATACTTGGGAGGTTGAGGCAAGAGGATAGCTTGAGCCCAGGAGTTTGAGGTTGCTGTGAGCTAGGCTGACGCCATGGCACTATAGCCCGGGTGACAGAGCGAGACTCTGTCTCAAAAAGTAAATAAATAAAAGCAAAAAGAAAATCCCTAAACAAGTTAAACAAATGTAATCCTATTAGAGATAAATGTGTATTTGGTTAATATCTTATGGAAGCTTAAATTACCTGCCTTCTTAACCCATTACAGTCAAGCATGGCTTAATGATGGGGATACATTCTGAGAAATGCATTGTTACACGATTTTGTCATTGTGCGAATATCACGGTGTACTTACACAAACCCAGAGCCTACTACACACCTAGGCTATTTGGTATAGCCTGTTACTCCTAGGGTACAATCATGTACAGTATGTTACTGTCCTGCATACTGTAGCCAACTGGAACACAATGGTATTTGTGTATCTAAACATAGAAAAGGTACAGTAAAAATATGGTACGAGATTAAAAAATGGTATACCTGTATAGAGCACTTACTATGAATGGCGCTTACAAGACTGGAAGTTGCTCTAGGTGAGTCAGTGCATAGTGGTGAGTGAATGTGAAGGCCTAGGGCATTACAATACACTACTGTAGACTTTATAAACTCTTATAACCTTAGGCTATACTAAATTTATTTTAAAATTTTTTTCTATAAGCTTTGTCTACCTTTAATTTTTAAATTTTTAATTATTTTTTACTTTTGGAGCTTTTTTTTTTTTTTTTTAACAGACAGAGTCTTACTCTGTCACCCATCGCTCACTACAGTCTCAAATTCCTGGCCTGAAAGGATCCTCCCACCTTGATCTCCCAAAGTGCTGGGATTAGAGGCATGAGCCACCATGCCGGGCCTTTTTGAGTTTTTTTTTTGCTAAAAACTAAAACACAAACACACACATTAAGTTAGGCCCATACAGGGTCAGGATCAGCAGTATCGCTATCTTCCACCTCCACATCTTGTCCCACGGGAAGATCATCAGGGGCAATAACATGCATGGAACTATGATCTACTGTGATAATAATGGCTTCTTCTGGATTACCTCCTGAAAGACCTAAAGTTATTTTATAGCTAACTTTTTAAAAAATATAAGTAGAAGGCATATACTCTATAAAGACAAAAAGTATATTACATAAATATTACACATAAGTCAGTAACATAGTCATTTATTATCAAGTGTTATGTACTATACATAATTGCATGTGTTTTACTTTTATATGACTGGGAGTGCAGTATGTTTGTTTACACCAGCATCACTACAAACGTGAGTAACGCATTGCACTACGATGTTATGACAGCTACAAAGTCACTAGACCATAGGAATTTTTCAGCTCCATTATAATCTTAAAGGACCACCGTTAACATGCAGTCTGACACTGAAATGTCCTTAGGTAGTGCATGAATGTATATGTTAAAATTTCTGCTGAGCTAATAATGCCCTTCTTGGATTTGATGCTAAGTGACTCCACAGCCAATATTAAAAACTACAGAGCAACTGTTTAAATAATAATTCCTCACGTGTAATGGGAATTTATGTTAAAATACACTATATTTGTGAAATTCTTGTGCCACCTAAAAATTACTTCCTGGTTCCTGTGTCCTAGTCAAACAAGTACGCTAAGCAACTAAAACTCTCTTAGGCAGAAATGGAACTAAACAGTAATGATGACTTAATATTATAAGCTGTTTCAGTATAGTGGACAATGACTCTAAAACAATAACTTATTATTAAGACTCTAATAACCATGTACTTAAATATTTTCTAAAATGAAATACATATACATAGAGAATAATACAATTAAAGGGTACAATTAACTATTATCTTCACAGAAACTGCAATGTAATTCAATCTTCTGTAATGCAATTATAACTCATAATCTTCAAATCTTTCTCCTTGAACACAGATTAAAAACTGTCTTAATCACTATTTTCTACCTGTTATCAAGGTTCTGTGAGTTACCTTCATTTAAAAATGAGAGCCTTATTTAATTGAATTCAAAGTGAACAAAGTATTTTATCTTACTGTTGACTTCCTTAATATCATTAAAGCAACTGCTTATATTTCAATATTTCATATTTGAGTAGGTTCCCTTTAAATAACTGAAGCACACTATTTATTCTGTTTTTGAATTATGACATAATGATCTCAATCACACTTAAGGGATAATGAATGTTTGTGGTTAAGAAATAAATTCTAGAATTACAAGAAAAGGTTGAGATATTGTTGAAATAAAGTAATCATAAAAGAAAGCAGTCAATAAATTTTAAATTACCAGGTGCAACATGTTGGAAGATAACAAAATACACATGCATTTACCAACAAAAAGTCATCAGAATTGAGTTGTGTGACTACTCCCGAAAATAAGATGTTATTAAATCCAGCTGATGGCTTATACAGTTGGATCAAGCCAAGTATAAAATCAGAGATGAGCACTGGAATTCCTATATATCAGAAATTAGGATAAAACTCTATAATACTGCAAATAGAATGTATCACATGAACACATTTCAGAAAAGCAAAGAAATTTTATTCTGAAGATAGCTGAGAGATTTAGAAGTTTTAAGAAGAGATTATGAGGCCCGGTGCCCCTCTCGTGGCTCATGCCTGTAATCCTAGCCAGAGGCAGGTAGATCGTTTGAGCTCAGGAGTTCGAGACCAGCCTGAGCAAGAGCAAGACCCCATCTCTACTAAAAATAGAAAGACATTAGCTGGACAACTAAAAATATATAGAAAAAAAAATTAGCTGGGCATGGTGGTGCATGCCTGTAGTCCCAGCTACTTGGGAGGCTGAGGTAGGAGAATTGCTTGAGCCTGGGAGTTTGAGGTTGCAGTGAGCTCTGATGGCGCCACTGCACTCTAGCCCGGGTGACAGAGCGAGACCCTGTCTGCAAAATAAATAAATAAAATGTGGAGAATGAAGTCATTGTTATTTGGTTAAATGTACTTCATTATATATTCTTCATGGGGAGAACAGATTTTTCTCTTTCATTCTTACTGAATCAAGCCATTTAGGTCTGAAGTCATCACTGCATGATAAAATACTTAAAAGTCAATAAACAAGATCTGAACCTATCTAACAGAAAACAGTTCATTTAATGAGTAAAGTGTATGATTCACAGAATTGCAAACCCAATAAAAGTGACAGCATTTTTATTCATTCAGCAGTGTATCTTTAGAACAAATCGGATCAAAATATAACCCCACCATTTAGTGAAATTTCTCACTTTTAATACAATTCACTTACTGAAGCACAGGCCAAAATTCCAAAAAATCCAACCTTCTGTACTAGGTTTTGAACTGCCAGTTTAGCCCGGGAGGCAAAGTCCTGTAAAAGGGGGATTTTAAAACATTAATGAAAGGGAGAAAACGAAGGGAAATGGCTCTTTATAGAGTTTATTATATAAAATATTTCACAATCTGAAGGCATTGATTCATTTAACGAGCAAGACAAATGATTAAAAACATCACAGCAGGCTGTTCACTGGAAAACATGCAAATAAAATTATGATAGACTATTACATCCTTAAAAGTTAAACTTAAAACATTGTCACTTTATTTTTAGGATTCTCTCTGGATTTTCTAGAGATGAACAAAATATCATAAATCAACCATGAACCAATTCATTCTTTTGGAAATACTAGCCTACCACGTCTATCTCTTCCTCTCTCCTTCCAAAATTTGCCAGACTTAATCTCTGATTAATAGCAGGGTAGAAAATCATATATTTATCAAGATGACCAATGAAGACACCTCTGCTGATCACTAGCCAGAGATGGAAAAAACAGTTATGCAGCAATAACTAAGCATTCATTACTGCCAAAAGCAAAATAACACTAGCACAGCTTGTGCTAGTTTTATAAAATGTTTTCACAAACATTTTATTTGAGCCTTTCAATAATGCTGGGGTATAGGTAGAGCAGGTATTGTTATACCCAATCTATAGACCACAAAACTGTAGCCCAGAGAGGTTAAGTGCTCAAGATCATAATGTTAAGTTAGGGATAAAGATAGGAAATGATTCAATCTTTAGACTGTGAAGTCAGAGCTTTTTATTTCACTATGCCACCTCTTCCCATGCTGAAACATGCATTCAGCTGACTAGTTTATTCCCATAATTTTCTTCTTTTGGCATGTTGATGCTACAATTATATATATTTTTTCTTAGAAGTCTCAA